CAGCAGGAACAGGATGTGTTATTAAAGAAATGGAACAACTCTTACATGTTCCTCTGTGTTCTTTTAATCTCATGTTTAGGGAATGCTACTGTAGAAATCATAATTGAAGTGAAGATTTTTAATTTATATTAACTATGGGTAAAGCTTGTGTTCTCTTTAGAAGTCTATGGGGGCAAAATGTGCATAATGTGTATTTTTATACATATACTAGATACAAGAAGACATCTCTTAATCTTCCATATTTTTTTCAGGTATCTTTATATAGGCTCAGGCTATAACAAAACAAATACGTTTCAATTCAAAGAGAAAAGGGTCCTGTTACAAACAAAGGCTTTTTTTCTACTAGAGCTGCTTCTTTTAAAGCATATATTGCTGCAGTTTTCAGATAATCATTCTAGCTCTTGAGGTAGGGAACTATCAATGGGAAACGAGTGGCAGATTGTAGATTCCCTTTTCATCTTCTCTACTGGTGTTGGATTAATATAAAAAATAGGAATAAAGAATGGTTACAGGCATTTACTTAGTTGCCTAGCATCACCTTTACTGCCTTTGCTGAGGTCTGTATTGTATTTTCATAATGTCATGCTATAATAATAATCATTTGATTTTTAACTCATAGATTACCTGACCCCAGAAAATATGCTTAGCATGATCTAATAGTTAAGGTGGGCAGCAGAGATCCAGGTTTTCTTGTTTGCAGGAGGAAACGGAAACAAATGAATTCTGCTGTAGTTAGTTACCTGTTTTTTCAGAGCTGAATTGTTGCTTTTCTAATATCATACACATGCAGGCATTTATTCTCACCTTGCTAAGCAACATGTGTATTTTACTGGATTTTCTAAGTTTTTGCAAATGGACTTTTGTTTATTTGTAAATGGTCAGGATTTGTTTAGCTTGCCCTTCATTTCCAGCTTTTTATATTCTGAATAATGTGTTCTGCAAGGGTAACAACAATGTCCAGGGATCAAAAAAAGTATTCTGCAACCACAAAGGGCCAGACTCTTGCCATCCCTTACTCCTGTTCATTTCAGTGAGATAAAGGACTCTGCAGTATGAAAAAGCAGCAGCTTGTTTTATATAAACTTTGTGTTCCCTTTGTGCTGTTAAGAAAACATACTGCTCCTAAGTTTTCTGTCAGTACTCTAGGGTAGAGGCAACTAAAGAGATATATCCAGTTACTTGCAAGGGATTTAAGAAATTGCATTGCCCAAGTGAACAGCATGTGCATGATTTATGGGGTAATGCCTTTGGCAAAAAAAGTAAGAATTGAGCTAAAAATTAACATATATGGGCATCAGCTGGTGACATGTGGCAAAAAAGGCATGCTGTGAGGCCCAGTTTCTTCCCACACCACCAGCAAGCCATGCTATTTTACACCAAGCATGAAAGGCTCTGGGCCTCTGAACTGTGAAGGTTCAGACGAGCCTGTGCAGTCAAGAGCAATTTTCTTGGCTCCCTGTGTTTCCTTTTAAGCCCATGTATTAATTCCTTCCCACTGTGCTGCCACTGTTCCGTGGATGTCAGCGAATCATAAGGGTGCATGGGAACATGCTTGGCAGCCCACAATGGTACCTGTCCCAAGAATGTTTCGCAGTAACTAAAGGAGATGATACAGTCAAAGGAGGTAGTTCTTAATGCCACTTCGAGGAAACATCCAAAACGCCCTGCCCCTATTTCCATATAAGAGCAGAGATGCCTCTGGCTGGAATAGATGTTAGAAAGTAAAAAGAACAACAACATTTTCCACACTAAATCTAAAGCTTTCTTCACTCTGGGGAAGCTGTGCTTTTTTTTTTTCTTCTTTTTTTACCTCCTGGTAGTGGAGAGACATGACTTCTCCCAGCCCAGTCTGGAGCAGGGATTTGCATGCTGGTGTTCCATATCCTGCCTCTCCCACTGCCCCTCAGCCTCTGCAGGCAGTCTGAGTCTGCTGGACTTCGAATAAGTGATTGGCAGAGGGGGAATTTAGTGGATGGGAGGCCCAGAGTCATATCTCTAGCCTGAATTGAAGTCTGTGTAGTTTGCTGTGGGTTATCCGGGACACTGTGCTCCCTGCTGAAGATGAGCTTGTCCTTTTGTATCCATGTTCTGTTTTATCTCAAACAGTTATGCCCTGAAGTGCTTTTAAGGTGAAGATGTCTTTCTTTAATAAGTGTATCTTAAGATGAGGAAAGTTAAAGAGCTGAGCTTGATATGCAAATCCTGCAGAGGCTGATCTGACTTGGGCTGACTGCAGCAGACTGAGAATTAAGCCTTTGTGCTTGTGTTGTCAGAGGTCCCCGTCTGCCTGAAAATTAGGATCTTATGCACCTGTGATTTTCAGCTTCCCTCTTCATAAACTGCAGACAATCTTAATTTTGATTACTGTGTCCATGCTTAGCTGTTGTTGCATCAGGCTACATGAAGACAGAACAAAAAAAGCCTAGTTCTGCAGCCTGATTTATCAATTAGAAATGTCACTGAGTGGAAGGAGGAGGTGGATCCTGCCCTCATCTGTGAGCTCGCTCACTGCAGGTCCAATCTGCACAGCAGCTTGCAAAAAGTGCTGGTAAGCCTCTCAGAGGCAAAGCAAGCCACAATAAACACGCCAGGAGGTGGATCGTGCATCGCTGGGGTGACCCTGTCACTGTTGCGTCCTCTTCTTTCTGTGAAAGAGTCGCACCTGTGTGAAGGCAGGAAGATAACGCCAGCTTGCAGAGGAAACATGGTTTTCTTTGAGCTTCATTTTAACATCTCACAAGCCTTGTCTGTACTAGCAAGTGGTATTCCATTTCCCTCTTTTGCCACCAGTTTTAGCTCTACTAATGACAAGGGTAAGAGCAGCAGTGTAGGCCATTTAACAGCTATCAGCATGCTGTACTCCATAGAGCTCCTTGGTTTGGCTTGTTTGTCTTGTGTTTTAAGTTGAGAGTAGAAAGACTTTTTGTCCCAGCAACCTTTGTGCAGGTATCTTTGTACAGTGAAATAGTCTCCTGTTAACTCTTTCATAGACTCCAAAATCTGAGTACACATTGAATCTGGGGCTGAATCAAGTCTGCAGTGGATGGGGTGCTGGGAAGGTGACAGGCAGTGTGCCTTACAAAACTGAGGAAACTGCTGTTGGGGCACACAATTGTCAGGTATTAGCCCTCAAGCAGACACTCAAAACCTATTTCAGTTTCCTCTGGATCACAGGCAATTATTCACTCACTACTAGCAGCACAAAGAAATGTAGAGATGTTCATATTTGTGACCAAAATACAACATGCTTCTAAGACTAATAATTAGTTTTTACTTCTCTGTTACACAGCACTACAGATATATTTTCTCCTAAAAATACCTGGAAAATAAAGAATATTCCCCAAATTATGCTGGGATGTCATTATGAAAATAACAGCCCTGTTGTACTATGTGAACTCGAAACTATTGCAATGAGCTCACCAATGAGAAATCTGTAAAAGTCTCTCATTTTAGGCTTGTGACAGGAAATGGCAGCAGGAAGTGAATGAAGGGGCTGGAGCTCAGTGCTCTGTGTGTGAGCGAGGGAATAAGGTACTTTTGAAATGAAGTGCATTTGAAATGATAAAGTGTTTGAAATGCTGATGTATAAATAACGTTAATTTTCTTAATGATAAGGTTTCCCAACATGCAAGCTTTACAATTTTGAGTTCTTTTCTAGGTTATCTGTTTCTGATGAAATACTGTAATCTGTAGCTGCTGCAACCCAGGGGAACTCATGAATTTGGTAGAGCCAGTCAGCGCACAAAAGCAGAATTTGGCTGAAGGAGTTTTAAGAGCTGAACTTGGAGACAAAACTGAGTGCAGTGAAATAAAAATAGGCAACTAGATTGGATTGATTAGATAGAAATTTTTGAAATCTGGAAGAGAGAGCTTGAAAAGCAGTCTTATGGCTATCAAGGATTTGGAATACTCTAAAGGTCAAGTGTGTTAGTGTTTGGTTAGAGCCCAGATCTTACAATGCAGTTAAAAAAAGAAAAGGTTTGGAATTCCCCTTTTTATTTGTTTTAATTGTCATGTAATAGCTTGCAAGTCAGATGATATTAGTTGCAATGTGTTTACTCCCATTTGTGTACTAGTTACTGCTGCTGTACTGTGAGTGATAGAGAAGTTTTGTGTTTCTCTGGGAAAAAAGTGCAAATGGACTCTGCTTTCCCTGCCAAACTCTTATGGTGGCCACATGGACATCATGAATCATTGCTTGGACAATGTGGGTGGTGGAGGAACAACCCAAGCAGAAAGCCTACATCTTTGGAGTAGATCCACCATAAGTCTTTTAATTCAGCACCTCACTGTAAAGTGAGGAGGTGG